TCTGTATAGTTGTCTAAATATTAGCTATGTCAGCTGTTTGAGCTTAATTTCAGCTATCTGTATAGCTATATGAAAAGTATGAAAATTCCTCATCCATTTTCGAACATTAATATATGAACTTCATTATTAGTTATTGAGATTTTTATGTTCAGTTACATATCATGAGGTCATAATATCAGTAATAACTACAGGTGGAAATAGTAATAACGCCGTGGAAGTAACAGGTGTCTGTTAGACTGACACAGTATATAGTATATTTATGATATATTGTAAGACAAGCAGACATTCAATTTCGATTGTGAAAAGTGATACAGATGGTTGAAATTGATCAGTTTAAGAACGATGTGGGAGAGTCGACTGTAATCCTTTTAAAATTTGATTTTATATGACTTTTCGTAAACCCCTCAACTTATCCCAAAGCGTGGAGGCAATTGTGGGTGGAGGGTCATGGTGCTGTTTCACTCAAAAATCATACGATCTTCAAAACAATATCATGAGAATGTTATCAGAAGAGGGTACTATAGGCAAAAGCCTGTTCCCCAATCTTAATGACTAAATAAATATTGTTTATAAAATAAAAGAATGTTATTACTTAAGATATGCCCCATTCTTATCGCCAGGTATTTTTGGGTAGGACCACTGGACCCCTGACGCTCCCAGCTATTCTTAACTGATATGTCTCCCCATAATCCCCTTACCCATGTCAATTCTGTATTTTAATTTCATCCAGAACCCCTTTTGCCTCAATTTAACTCAGATTAGTTCTGACTTGAAATCCTGGGCAATTGTGTCCCCTTAGAGATTAGGGTGGTTGAAAGGTAACAAGTTAGAGTATACCTGAAATGAAAATATCAGTAGACCTTTGAAACACATGGCTTAAATAGTCCTATAAACACATGGCCTAAATAGTTCTTTAAACACATGGCCTACATAGTCCTATTAACACATGACCTAAATAGTTCTTTAAACACATGGCCTACATAGTCCTATTAACACATGACCTAAATAGTTCTATAAACCCAGCCTAAATAGTCATATAAACACATGGCCTAAATAGTCCTATAAACACATGACCTATATAGTTCTATAAACACAGCCTAAATAGTCCTATAAACACATGGCCTAAATAGTCCTATAAACACATGGCCTCAATAGTCCTTTAAACACATGGCCTCAATAGTCCTATAAACACATGGCCTCAATAGTCCTTTAAACACATGGCCTAAATAGTCCTATAATATTGATATTGTGAATGAATAATTAGGTTGAATGATAAGCTTATATATAAAAACCTAGATAATACATAATTCATACTGATATAATATTATAGATTATTATTTACTGTTTGCCAGTATGAAAGGTAAAACATTCTATATTATTTTAATGTTCAATTGTTAATGAAAATGTTCCAATCTTCAAGAGTTTCTGTGGAACTTTCTGAGTATTAGATTAAGCCTTATACAAGTAATTACTACTGGTCCAATATGCTAGATAAAACATTTATATTATTATGGACAAGAGTTCAATATTTTTAATGAGAATTTTCCAATGGTAAAATTGAGGATCTTTCTGCCATGATGTGTATGTAGTGGTGCCAAGTTCCTCAGACAGGGGTCAGACTGACTTAATAGTGGTCATCTGTCAAGGTTGAATTCGAAATAAGGCAGCTCTGTGCATGTGCCATAGACTTATGGTCCTATGGAGCCTCTGAGAAGGGTTTTCCTCCAGAAAATATCTGAAAAATAGAATTGTTTTTTGTGCCCTAACATATATTTTGTAGCGTATAGAATATAGATAAGTAATGGTACAAATGGAGTGCAAACCTTTTTTCAAATGCCCCCTTCCCACCCCTTAGGTGCAGAAGAGACGGAAGTAAAACTTTTTTCAATTCATTTCATTTTTACTGAACACATACATTTGTTATGAATACTAATATGAATAAATTGTTTTTAATTTATTCGCTTCACATCCTGTTAGCTCATCAAAACTTTTATAGCGAAACATTATGTTTGTGTTACAAGATAGCGTTATATTTACTGGGTTAAAACACGTGGAGTATTTACTGGGTTAAAACACGTGGAGTATTTACTTGGTTAAAACACGTGGAGTATTTACTTGGTTAAAACACGTGGAGTATTTACTTGGTTAAAACACGTGGAGTATTTACTTGGTTAAAACATGTGGAGTATTTACTTGGTTAAAACACGTGGAGTATTTACTTGGTTAAAACATGTGGAGTATTTACTTGGTTAAAACACGTGGAGTATTGAAATTAAAAGTCTGAATATTGGAAAATGTATCAGTTTATTGCATCAAGGTCTAAAAAAAAATATATGAAAATTGTGTTCATTTAAACGCTCACATAATAATGAAAACTTACAATAAAAAAAAAATTCTCACTTTTAAAACAGTGCAATAGTACATCATTTGTAGAGCGATATAGAAATACCTTGACTGCAATAGCCTACAATCTTGTTTCACGGTCAAGGATATGATTGGATTGTACGCCAGCAAATACAGCCACTCAAAGTCTTTGATTGGGTAATTATATTTTACAGTCTTTCTGTGGAGGACCTTGATTGGCTGTATTCTATATCATACAATCCAATCAAATTGCTGCATTCACAAACTTTCATGATATAAGAAAAGTTGCTTTTGCGGTCAAGGTATGATATGAAGGCATAATACCTTGAGCATTATGAAGATGTAGTTTTTGAAGAATTCAAAATAAAATTGGAGACTTCCTAATCACTGAAATTTGATCAAGTTTTTCTAACACTACAAGACCATGTAGAGGAAATCAGAATGGTGAAAATAGAAAGCATTTGTCAGACCCATATATCAAAAACAACGAAAAACTCTTTAAATATTATGTTGTAAGAATAGAAAATAGACCTGATATTATTGATTATAAAGATCTATATTACCATTCTTACCTATTGGTATATTTCCAAGCAATCTAATCAAAATTTTAAGATATTTAATCTCCATTGGTATGTAAACAACATCAGAAAAAAAAATGTAAATTAGATGTAGATTAATTTCCAGTAGCAACCAAGCCATCTTTTATATCTTGAAATTAGAACTATTTTCTGTGTTTTATTTTGCAGGATCCGTATCAACTCACCATGTACCAATCCAAATTTCCAACTGAAGAAATTGTTGTTGGCTGTCATGGGGGTCATTGTTATTGTCTCGTTTGTGGCTCTTGTCATCACTGCCAGTAAGTTAGCATAGAACACACAGGGACTAGAAACTTTGTATTATACTTTACTTTCCTAAAAAGGCAAAAAACCTCACACCAGAAAGGTTATATCTACAAAAAAAGGCCCTTTGTTGTCAATGAATGGATGCAGATATGACCTTTAAATATATTGGTAATCTTTCCAAAACTATTAAAGGTAGAGATTTCAAAATGAGTGTATACATGCGCATTAAAAGCATCTAACTCTTTATTGAAACAACGTTTTTTAGTCATAACTACCACTTAGGACTTAGTAGTTCTAAGAGATCGTAATATGGAGTAGGTTGCTTGTTAGTGAGTAAAGGTTCTCACTTTGTACTAATGACAAAGTTACGAAAGCACTGGCACAGGACTTATAAGTTCTTATATTTAAAGAAATATGTGTTGATTATTTGATGTTCGTAAATCCGAGTTCTGTACACTTTAAACTAGAGATAATCTGAAATTAGCAGAAGAGAAAAAGCTCCAAAGTTATGAGAATACTAGTTGTTAAATTTTCAAACAATCACTACACTTATTCTTTCTGTTGATATTTTTCAGTTATTGAGCCATTTTTATCAGGAAACAGTATGTATACGATACAGCAAGATACCTCAATGCATTATGGGATAGTAATAGATTGTGGAAGTAGTGGGAGCAGGGTGTATGTTTATTCGTGGCCGACTCACTCCGGCAACCCTCACGATTTACTCAACATGAATCAACTCACTGATCAAGACGGCCATCTCATCTCTAAAAAAGTCTCACCCGGTAAGTTTTGCATTTGGATTGGATCAGAGTTCGGTCACAAACTAATTGGTTTGGATTTTCTAGCCACAAGGATCTTACTTCAAATTTTTGATTACTTCATGAATATTCATCTTTGAATAGATATAAATAGTTGATGGTTTGTTTGTCGTAAAGATTACCTATATATTCTGAATTAACCTCCAATAGCGCTGTTAAATCAGACTGACTTTACACATTGATTCTTTTTTTAATCTCTTTAACAATGAATATTGATTGGCTGAACATTAAATAACCTAGAACAGTAGATGCATAACAATGATGTCAGATCATGGATGGTCAGTGAAGTCATTCTCAAAAATAAAAAAAAACATGAAACAAAACATCTAAATAGTTTCATTTTTACCAGATTGAGCTCACCATAGAATTTTATAAAACGTTGCAGAAAGAAACCTTATAGAATATTCTTACATGCATTCTCCTTTTGAATCTATTATTTAGATTTTGAAAACCATTAATTCTATAAGTATTGTATTGTAGGTCTGTCAAGTTATGCTGATAAACCATCAGAAGCCAGTGAATATATTCGTCCATTATTAGACTACGCTGCTAAATATATCCCCCGTGAAAAACATAAAGAAACACCTTTATATATCTTGGCTACAGCTGGTATGAGACTAATAACAGAAAGGTACAGTTGTTGGGATTTAGATTCATGTTGTTTTTGACTATAACTCTGCTGGTGGTCTGGCCTAGCAAATATAGCCCTACTAGTTCCTCAGAAGTAATATACTGCTGTGATTTCATCACTCTTAGGGCCAGTTCTGAAGTTGCTTTTTTTGGTTGAGTACCATCCATTTTTGGATAGTTAAGCAAATTTTACTTAACTTTTGATGTCTGTACGAAGTTGAACCACTAATGAGTCCCATCAAGACATTACCAGATATACTACTTGTCTCTGTAACCAACACTGTACTACAATGCACTCCATATTTTTTCTTCCTTAATTTAACTTTGTAAATATGATATATACAAGAATATTGACTAATCTGGGTCACAATGTGAACTTAATTAAAGATGGGGTTTCTTATTTTTTTAGTGTCAAATTAAGCAAACTATTTGATTAATAGATGTTTCTAATGAATTTTCATGTATTCTTAATCATATCATTGTGTTCTTATTGCATATAATTAAAGTTTTAAACAAACATAAATGTCCATGTGTCTACAGCCTGGATAAACAAAAAAAAGACTTTTGACCTTTCTTGATCGATCATTCATTGGAATTTTGCTGGTAATTCTCTTCTAATTCAGCTAATTATGAATTAATTATGGACATGTTAGACAAACTGGTATTTTTCCAAGCAAATTTGAATGTATAATGTATAAGTAAATTAGTTGTGATATTCCATATTTTTCAGAGCTCAGAAAGAAATAATGTCAGATCTCCAAACAGATATAACTAAACTGTATGATTTCCTTGTGGCTGAAAACCATTTTGAGGTTATCAGTGGTAAATTGGAAGGGGTCTATGCCTGGATTGCTGTTAATTATGTCTTGGATAAATTCTCTCATGGTCCTGGAGGTTTGTCTTATTTTCTTTGCTTTTGTAACTGTGTCATATCAAAAACTGTTTTTGGGGTTATTGCCCTTGATTTTGTAAAAGAAATTCACTTGTCAGCATAGAAGACGCAGAAGTCTGAAAATTGGAATGATAAGAATCGATGCGATTAGTCTCCCCGATACATATAAAAGTATTTTTAACAAAGCTTATTACATCATCATTTGAATTCTATTTATAGATCATGAGTTAGTCAGTGTTAGACTACCAGGAGAGAGTTCCAGTTCACCCCTCCATACTCGCAGGCGGACTATTGGAATGATGGATATGGGAGGTGGTTCTATACAGATAGCATTCGAAGTTACTAATCCAGTAAGTAGTTAATTTTGTTTTTTTAAAGGAAATTAGGCTACTGATTTATCCTTCTGTCTGTCTGAAATTTTGTGAATCTCATAAGTTAGAGTCTACACCAATTTTCTGAGTTCAAAATCTGAGCCCCAACTATATTCCATCCCGTCGTCAGGAATGAATTGGTGCTGGGGCTCAGATTTTATACTCAGAAAATTTGAAGAATTAAAGGCTCAGAAAACTCATTCCTGACAATTTTGAGGTGCCAAAAACGTATCAAAATCTATATCTTTTTGATTTTATACAAAGACACTGTAAATCAATGAATCTCTGCTGAACTGAAGAAGGTTTTGCTGGGGTTTAATTCTCACTAGCTAGTGCCCAGCCCCCACGGACCTGCCCTAACGACAGGGCTGTAACTACATGATAACAAAAAATATACATTTAAATTTTGAAGAAATAAGATTCAGAAGTAAGTAATTAATGATTAAATACTATGATTCACTTCAAAAATGAAACATAAATTTAATATTTTTATTTTCAGAAAGCTGAACTACCGAAGTCATTGATAGCAGAGATCAATCTTGGTTGTCAAGACTCTGATTTAGACCACACCTACCGCATCTACGTTACTACTTTCTTAGAATACGGGGCCAATTCAGCTCATAATCGTTACGAAGAATTATTAATTAAAAACTCTTTATCATATGCTGATCCGTAAGTTTCTTTAATGTTAAAGGGATTGTAAAGATGTTTTCTAAAATTTTTATGCTTACCCGGGACACTGATGGCATCAATTTGCATCATTCCAATTTTAGATCATACGTCTCTGTTTCTTGTAATTCCACTAAAACTAAATGTTTGATGTTTGCTTGATGACGTTAGGCCCTTCGCATCCCGGTCAATCAAGTTGAAAAGAAGTACTATTAAATCTGTCACTTCAGCATATCTTTCAAGAACGTCTGGTTTATTGCAAATTTTTTCATTTTATATTAATGATTTAATGCATTTTTTTCAGCTATAAGGGTAAAAATAAAACTAACGCTATACACGATCCGTGTATGGCACGAGAGATGCCAGTGGTGAAAGAAATTCACGGGAAAAAATATTATTTTAAAGGGACAGGAGATTTTAATAAATGTCGTAAAATTTTAGTGCCGTTATTAAATTCTACTATATTATGTCATCAAAATCCGTGTTCTATGAACGGCATTCATCAGCCTGATATTGATCACGATCGATCTAAATTCTATGGATTTTCTGAATTCTGGTATTCTACGGAAGATGTTTTTGGAATTGGTGGAACGTATAATCATGATAAATTCCAAACAGAATCTGAGGTAGGTTTGATATTATTAATTGTTAGGATGCCTTATTAAAGGGATACTACCTCTTAAAATGAACATACAATATAAAGTCTCAAATTTTGTCAATAACAGTATATATTCATCAGTTAGACTTACCAGGTTTCATGACTAAAGAAGAGAATCTCTATATAACACGATAAATCTATTAAAATTAATAATTATTGAAGCATGTTTCAAAATTACTCAGTTCAATGGATAGAGGGATTCTGTCGTATACTTTTGACCAAAGGTATGTTCACTGTTGAACAAAAACTCATTTTGGCCAAGTTTAAAAATTTCAACTTTTTAGGTCATCCTAATGGGTAGTATAATGTAACGTTTATGTCTGCAATAGTTTTAATTAATGATGCTTAGCAATATGACAAAATTCTCCCCTTTTTAATACTGCATTGCATTACCCTGCTTTGAATTGTAGGCGAAAATAAAAATTTGAAATTTGTTCGACCTATACTTAAAGTCAGACAGAGGCTTGTGATTCTTTGACATTTGACCTGCCAGTCATTATTCAGAAAACAGTGGCAAATAAACATTCCTTGTTGAACAGCTTGATATATTATCTCTTATACTTTTTTATTATTTTGTTGTCTCTAAAACTGCGCTACTTTTTGAGTTTCAAGAAGTAAGAGGTTATCTAATTTTTTAATTATGATCAATTTATATATTCTGTTATTTTATTTAGGAATTCTGTAAAACCAGTTGGAGTAAGTTACAGAAAAGATATAAAAAGAAATTATACCCTAAAGCAGACAACGATAGATTTTCGTAAGTTTTAAAATATTTTATCTAAATCAAGATCCAGTACTAATATAGGATTTCCCATCGTAGCAGTCCCGTCGTTAGGGTTGGGTCCGTGGGGGCTGGGCACCAGCAAGTGAGAATTAAACCCCAGCAAAACCTTCTTAAGTTCAGCAGAGATTGATTCATTTACAGTGTCTTTGTACAAAATCAAAAAGATATAGATTTTGATACATTTTTGGTAGCTCAAAATTGTCAGAAATGATTTCTCTGGGCCTTTAATTCTTCAAATTTTTTTATTATAAAATCTGAGCCCCAGCACTTATTCATTCCTGACGACGGGGCTGCATCGTAGTCACCTGTTATACTAATAAGATTAGTCAGCATTTTATATTGTCAGTGCTTTTAGCTAAATTCAAACCCTATTTTCTTACCAGACGACAATCCAATCCTTTTCAAAAATGTCCTGCCATATTTTCTCTCTCTTCGAGCAGTTGTACTTTCTTTTGAAAGAATTCAAAATATTGAGATTGCTTGGTTTCCTTTACCTACCTTTTGATGACAATTTTGTTTTTTATACGCCCACATTATAAAAACTAGGATTTCAAAATATATTTTTAATTTTTCTTGTGATGGTTGACATCCATCAAATATAGCTTTGTGGTACTGGGACACAGATTTGGTCTCAGAGCTTGCTTGGAATCATTGGATTTTCAATTAGTTGAAGTCCAAATTGTCTATATATTTTTTGTTGTTGTCAGCTGATAACTCTAAAAATCTCTACCAAACTATCAGAGGCCTTATTCTCAAAAATTTGATTAAAAATCAAGAAATTAACAAATACAGTTTTAAAATCTGATTGCAGAATAAAACTAAATTAAAATTTATCTAATGACTTGAACCTGAATTCATAAGGTTCTTCAAGCCTTCCGGAATATGGCCCAGGTATCAAGAAAATTTGAATGAATTAGTTGAAATAGAATAGAGATAAATCGTTGAATATATCATTGTTTCTGTATCACCCCACCTTTTTCAGTTTTATCCCAAATGTATATTTTTTTCAGTTTTTTATTACGATAGCGAGGTTTAGGAAAGTAGAAATGTTTCTGTCAAATTGGTTTGGGAATAATTTACTAAATTTAAAAGATATTTTCCAATTTTATCAGGTCTTACGATTTCGGATCAGTATTGAGGTAAAAGTGGTCAATTCCAACTTTTATTTTGGAAGATATTTTGTGTTTTTATAATATAATGATCCTTTTCACCAGAGGAATATTTTTACGGAGATATTAGATCTTATTTCACAAAATCCAGATTATAAATGCAGTGATCCTATTGGTTAATCAAATTGAATTTGTAATGAATTCAGTGACTGACCAATCAGATTAACTTATGAGTTTTAACCAATTCTATTGAAAAGTGGTCATAATGCTCTTCTGTCTGAACTAACTCAGAACAGTGTAATGTGTAAACGGGCATGCCCAATTAAAAATAACATACCCCCTTGGACTGAAATAAATCAGAGGAGGTAACAAACCATACTGACAAAAAAAAAACATAAAAGAATCTGTCACCTACACCTCTTCAATCTTCAGAGGTCAGTCAGAAACTCGCGTAGATCTAAAATACATTTAAATTAATATTTTTGAATTTTTTATTACAGAAATCAATGTTTTAAAGGGGCGTGGTTAGCGACAGTTTTACATGAAGGGTTTAAATTCCCTGAAGACTATAAGCACCTAGTCACGGCTCAGTTGATCAATAATAAAGATGTCCAGTGGACGTTGGGGGCTCTATTGTATAGAACACGATATCTTCCATTAAGGTTAGTATTGAGGTCTATTTTTCTTCCTGTAATCATTGGTCCTTTGAATTGTTATCACCAAACATCACAATCATATCATGGGAACTTTTATAGTTAAATCAGAAATCTTTCCGTACTGCACAAGATTTTGATGGTATATTTTTTTACAAACGTTAGTAAAGTTTGAAATCATCTGGCAGTTTAAATTTTTATCACCAAACATCACAGAGGGAAAATTTATAGTCCAATCAGACGCATTTGACAAATACAATGAAATCAATGGAAATATCGAAAATTTTGTCAAATCGACAGTGAAAAACAGCCATAACATACATAAATCACAACTCTAGCAAAAGAATGGCAAAAAAAATAGAATAAACAGCCTAAAGCTATCAAATCATACGGACTAGTTGCTTGTCAATGGTAAATGGTTTCTTTTCAACCACTCCAGTCAAACATGAACTCTAGTCAGACGTGATCGGCACTTCACCAAACCAACAATATTTAAAGAATTAATGATTGTTCTTCAATATAATCAACCCTCCCTGTCACATGATGTACAAAGTTTATTTCCGAATATCTATATTTACACACATTCAAGCCTTTAAAATGTTTTGTGTCTTCTATTTTCAGGGATATAGAAAAATTAAATGGACAAGTTACTCCAAGCTATCATTCAGTACCATCTATATTTGCTAATGAATATTTAGTTATTTTATGTATAATAATAGTGTTCGCTTCCATCATACTCTACATGAAACGTTTACGACTGTGTCCACAGAATGACCTTCAGCGCGTTCCTTCAATGTCATACTTCATGACCGGTGATAATGAATCTGAACCTGGTTTGAAAAAAAGTTCGTATTATTTATGACGAGAAGAGGATAGTGATTTTTATTTTCGAAATTAATGTGGAGTATAATTTCGGAATTAGTGAATTGTGTGGAAATGCGTAGCAAATTTGTGAGTTTTTTTATGAAAATCGTTAAATATTGTGATATTTTAAAGTGTTCATTTAATCATATCACAGGGATGGCAGACAATAGACTGATCTCAAGTATAAGTGTGCCAGTCATCTATAAAACACCCCTCAACACTCTATTGAACTCTTCCACACTTGCATTTTTTAATTATTATGATACAGTGTTGTATTTGCTGGCATTAGGTCATTTTCAAAGTAAGGGATGTTTTGGTCATTTTTTTTCATTTTCCGTTCTGACATTTGAAATAGACCTTATTCTCGTCTCGTTTTGAACACATCGAATGCAAGGCTCATAACACAAACTACATCATCTCTTGAAAAGATGGTGATGTCATATTTAGGAAAAGCTCATGTGATGTCACTAAAAACACAACCAACAGCAAGAAAATGTGCTTAAAACAGGAATTATCAGAAATGTGTGAAGATGAAATTCATCTGAAAGTATCATTAAATAGCTTATTCAATTCCAATTTTAATGATGTAAAAGATGATTAATTTTGAGTTAATGGGATTGGAAAAGGAGGAGAAGACGTCATAGTGGCGATTTTAGGCAGTGATGCAACGTTACTTTTGTGTGTTTGCGTTATGAGCCAGTGCTTGAATAAGGTTCAAGTCTTAATAATTCTGTCTGAGCATGTAACATTTTAAACCACGAAATTCTCATTTCATGGCTTTGGTGATCACCATCTTCACAATGTCAAGCTATTATGAACTTCGTACTTGTCTTATACCTTGACTACAATAGCCAATATTCTTGTAAGGAATGCGATTTCATTGGATTGTACACCAGCAATACAGCCAATCAGAGCCCTTGTCAGATAAGATGTAATCATTACAGCTTTGAGTTCAGACTTTCTGTCGATACCTTTGATTGGCTGCATTAGCTGGCATACAAATCACAATCAAATCTCCGCTTTCCATGATACAAGAAAGGTGGCTATTGTAGTCAAGGTATAAGTACAAAGTTTTTAATAGCTTGACATTGTTAAAATGGTGATCACCCAGAAACCTTGAAATGAAGTTGAATGAATATCTTGATCTGAGTTTTAATTAGATTGAGATATATTTGTCTCACATAGCCTGTTATCATAGCATTGTTCTCTATCAACCTTTTATATTAATTACTAAGCTAATATAAATATTTGCCTTTTTGAGAAAAATTAGATCAGGTTTGCGAAACTCCTAATTTGTTTGTGTTCATCAGTTATAGAAATATTCTGCTACTACCTGCCATATTTTTATGCTACAAATTTTATTTTTTTCAAAGAAATAGTAATTTACTTGTAGTCCTTGAATTTCATTTTTTATGAAATTTTTGAATTTTTATTTTTGATTATAATTTACCAGATACCTTAAATACATTGTCTAGACACTGTATAATTATTAAACAGGCCATGAGAAATGATATTGCTATTTGGTAGTGTTAGTAAAAGTGAAGTAGTAAATCTGCATAGTCAGATAAAGGCATACATCCTGGGACATTACCAAATATAAACACTAATGGTCTACTTTACTTTGAGGTAGTTTTAGTGGAAATGACAGCAGATTAGTTTTGAGTTGTTTCTATGAAATGTGCTACTGAACGTTTTACTAGTAGAGTTTCTGTTACCATTTGTTCTACCCGAATCATAGTGGACTCTTCTTGTTTATCATTGGAAATGTTAATGCATGTGCATAAGTACATTTGACCTACTTTACATGTATGTAGACAATATAGCATTGATCTTGTATTGTTTAATATAGAGCAGTTTTACATGTAGCATTTCCTTCAGTTACATTTAGTTTTGCTTTCATTTTTAGTTAAATCATTTATTTGTTATTCTTAATATTTACCAAAATCCTTCTTGTGTCTATTCAGCTTTATTCACTGCAATTTTGGGGTATTAGGAATTGAAAGGTTGGTTCATTTTTGGAAGAACTAGCCAAGTCATTTGAATTTTTCTGTCCTTTAGGAGGATTCCACTGCCACTTTTAGGGGATAACTCCAATATGTCTGGAGGGTTACAAAATAATCTGGGGGTATAATGTATGATAAGAGGGGTTGTGTTATATCCAGGTTAAATATATATGTGGGAAGGTTTGAATAGAAATTTAGATTTACTGTATTTTTGCTTTATCAAGGCGGCAAGGCTGGATATATTGTGTCAAGCATCTATTTGACTCCCCTCAACATTCTATTGAACTCTTCCACACATGCATTCTTTCTTTCAATATAAAATTGAACATGTTTGATTGGAAGAGCTCAAGTAAAATTCGGGACGAGTTCTGTCAAATCATATCCAGTCTTAAGGTTTTTAGAGTGGACCACACAAGATAATTTGACCTGTGACCTTTATCCATTTTATGAACTCATTCTTTGTTCTTTCATCTTGCCAGTGATATTTGACAACATTTAAACCACATTTATAACATATGAACTGGTTTAATTTTGATATTTGACATATATTTTATAGCTTGTGTCATCCTGAAAAATTTAAATCTACATTCTCTTCATCTGATTGGTCAATCGCTTGAATCTAGTTAACCAATTACATTACAGCATTTCCAAAAATCTGGATTTTATTTCAGTTAAGTTTTTGTTATTTCATTATATTTACCATTTGCATTACAGTATTTTCTTAAACCTTGATTCTATCTTAGTTGAGGTTTCAAGAATAAAGGCCCTAGTGACTAATCATTAATAGGAGCACTATATATAGTCACATAGAGAGCTTCATCTCTGGCAACCAACCGACTATAGCTATGGGAAACTCAGCTCAGTGGATGTTGACGACTCATACCACCTTGATAGAGCAAGATATATAATACTGACGAAGCACAATATATATGGATATACTATTTCTGACATTTATTAACTCAACGTTTCACATGCTCATACACGCAGAGAATGTAACTTCTCTTGATAACACTGCCTGTATGTGAATGTGAAACATTGAGTTAATAAATGTAAGAAATAGAATATCCATATATCTTGTGATTCATTACCTACTCCTATTTCTATGTCTTATAAACAGTATATATGAATACTAATATATTAGATTTTTAATATATTTGTTTGTGTTGAGACAAACTAATTAAAATAAGATTAGAATTTCGTCTCCATTATTTTTAGTCTCCATTGTATTTTAACAACTTTTCGACCAAAAGTAGTATTTTTAACCAATCAAAGTGTGTCCTGCACGGCCAGTCAATAACTATGATGAATTGTGGGATAGCAGTGGACATAGGCTGTCATATTGCTCTACTTACGGTTTCCCTTTCCTATAATTTATCAGTGTTAAGTAACTGCTCCTACATAACTCAACATAACACGCTGTGATTGGCTAGAAATAATGTCATTAGTACAGGATTGTAGAAGAAAACTTGTTAGATTACAGTGGAAACAAAAATAACAGAAAATAAAATAGAAAGAACTTGTAATTTTATTTAATAAAAGTTTTGTTAAGAGAAATCCTATTATCATATCTTGTTGTTCAATAATATACTGTTTCTTAATATATCATTTCACTTTAGATCATATCAGGGAGGGGCCTTGTGTTGGGGCGCAGTGCTCTGTTTCTCAAAAATCCAATTTTAATGGAATGTTAACAGAATTGCTTTGCTTGTATATATTGCTTGTTAGATACTATCTTTGAATTTCTTTATATCTTTTTTCCAGTCATTGATGCATTTTGGAGGGAATAACATTCCTGAAGGGAAAAATTAACCAAGGCATTTTATGCCACATGTTTTTTATGATTCCAGCTCCCTTGAAACCCCCTCCCAACTTAAGGGGGCACTCCCCTGCCTGATTGATATATCCATTTGAAATGATATGTTAAAATACAGTATAGAAAGTGTGATATTTTATATTTTGTTAAAGATTCTATTTATTTCATTATCTCTTTGTTTATTATGTAAATACACTGTATAGTGGCAAAGATAACTGTGGTCATATTCAAAAGCAATCTAGTTCAAATTATCTTTACTATATACACATCAGTCCATGACCAGTCTACTGTATTTTCAGGTAGTGTAGGTAGTAAGACAATATAAATTTGGCTTGAAAAGGGTCAATCACTATCATTTCATCAACTCCATGTAACAATTGCATTGGAATTTGAGTTGAATATATTTTTTCTTGTAATCTCTCCAGAAGTAATAATCTATGAATAATCTTCAGTAAAACATATTCTGTTTGAATTGAAATAGTTTTTATGTTGAAATCCATAGTCTCTACTTGTGACCTCGGCCAGTGCTTCTGTAGGAGAGTATCTTCTATAACACCTAATACTTGTGACCTAGGCCAGTGCTTCTATAGGAGAGTATCTTCTATAACACCTAATACTTGTGACCTAGTCCAGTGCTTATCTACTCTAACTTAAAACAAAATAGACGGCTGCTACTGGTGTTTATGTTTTAATTATACCCCAATGTATAGACTGCTCCTCATGTTGATATTTCAATCATATCCTTATGCGCATAATTATCTTTGATTATATATAATACCACAGTGTATTGTATATAGTGTAATTCACATAAATCAATCCCATGTGTTTTAACATGTTATGATAACAGTATATAGCGCACAGTCTTATTAAAAGTAGCAACACTGGTTACTTTGCTTACCAAATCTAGGGCTAAATTTGTAGACCTACCTTATACATCTGAACTTCCAAAACTAGGATGCCTACTACTGATGTACTGTTAAAGTTTTACTCAAATATTGTAAATACAAAATGGTAAATTTATAAGAAAAATAAAACGGTTGAAAATTTGAGTTTCTTTAAATTTTGTCCATCCAGTTGATGGCATCTATCCATCGACCTGTTGTTCAGTCCTCAAGGTATGAAAAATTCTGATGCTACCGCTAGTGCTTTAGAGAGTCGGTATTGTGTTGACTTTCACCCTTGAATACCACATTATACTGACGGAGCTGAGAGAACTTTGTGTGAGTCAGTTCTGTAAGCTAGTTGAACACAATATTTCATGTTTCTAAGGCTGCAGATCTTTATGGAATTATTGTTTATCACAGACAGTGTTTCATACTGATCCTTCCAAAAGCAAGGTCTACCATGAAATTTTTCCAAATAATTTGCAACACATTAAAGAAACTGTTGGTAATTACCAATTGTGATCCTTCCTGTTAATATAAGCTCACTATGAACCAATGAACATTTTGGATGGATTTGAGATAATAGTGCTCTAGACCTTCATGTATAAAAAAAATCCTCTCATTGTGCACCAAGGCATCATATTGACCTAACCAGACATGAATTCAATCAATTTCGAGTGGAGAGGAAAAAAGGATTTAGGTTACTTTATCTAAACCTTTGGATTTGGAATTCTATTATGAATCCTTTATTTTAATATTTTTCCAAAATTCATTAATTCATTCCTTCATTCATTTCTAAGTTCATTCATTCATTTCTAAGTTCATTCATTCATTTCGCAATTCATTCATTCATTTCGCAATTCATTCATTCATTTCTAAATTCATTCATTCATTTCTAAATTCATTCATTTCTCAATCCATTCATTCATTTCTCAATTCATTCATGGTTGTCATTTTTTTTATGTGATTTGTACGCTGGATAACCAGTTGAACTAAAGGAAAGTACGGTAACTCTTTCTTGAATATATTTTACTGGATAATCAAGAATCAAAACAATGGCTGAATTTTCTGAGGTTGGGAAACATTGTAGTGTTTCTGATTGCAAACAGCTAGGTAAGGACGTCTGGTATTTCTAAATATTGATGGTAGAAATGGACAATGTGGTTTTCACACCAAATTGGAGCCGTGAATGAGAAACGTTTCTGTTATTTTTCAGATTTTTTGCCGTTTGATTGTGATAGATGTGGTCTTGTTTTTTGGTGAGTCTGTAACTTCGTATATTATCTTATGTTCTTGAAGTTCAATTCTTTTCATAATGATCAATGGAAATGTTTTAAAAACATACTTGCACTAAACAAATGAAACTATGGTGTATGGTAATAGACTGCCTAACCTTGTCACAATCGTGGTTTTCTGTTCTGTGTTCTTTGGACATTATGGTGGGTGATGCTCTATTGTTCCAATTCTACCCCCAATTGAACTGTATAAAAGCTTCAAAATTTTCCCATCTATTTCCTTCTCTGCCATTTTGATTTCTGTCTGCATCTACTATTTTTTCAGAACACGTGGAATGCGTTCTGAAATCTGTTCCAATTTGTATCAAATTTAAATGCCAAATGTGCAGAACCTACCAAGCGAGCACCACCACTGAGTTTAGAAGACTAGCCTAAACGATCTGTTTAAAACTGTATATCTATAAAACGTATTTTCTATTTTCAGCAAACTTCACAAAGCCACAGATAATCACCAGTGCAGTCAGGTACAGTAATGAGTTAAAATACATTATATAGCCCATAAATGAAAAACACACGAAAAGCATATTTTCTCGATAGGTCTACAAAGTTGAAAGGTCTCCTCATTATTGCTTGTTTTATATCTTTAACAAGCCTGATCTTTATATTAAATGATTTATCATTATTGATATATTCCAGCATTTAAAAGTAGACAGTCGTCCAGAGTATCATGGTCCGAAAGGAATCTCCTGTTTCTATTCTGATTGTAAGAATCGAGAATTAACACCAATACCTTGTATTAAATGTTACAATTCTTATTGTTTAAAGTAAGTATCTACATCTCAATATTCAGGAGCTGAGTGGCTCAGTGAGTTGAACACTTGCTTGTTACTCTGAAGGTCCAGGATAACAGGACAGTGAAAGCTGAAAATTGCCTGACAATGTTAAAGTATTGATGCACGACCATGTGTTACGATATACTTATAGAAGTAAGTTGTGTTGTCAGGTATCAATTCACTGGAATATTGTGCTGGCACTAAACCACACAAAGTTGTAGTTAGAATATATCAGTGAGTAAGTCACTTACTTGCTAGTCTGAGGCTCCAGCAATATGATACACAAATAGTGGAATATTGTATCACAATGTATCAATTTACAAATATATATTGTGCCAGAACTAAAATACACCACAATGAAATGCAATGCTTCTTGGAGAAGGATTGATCACAGTTCAGTTGTTTATAGCTGCAAAGTAAGATGTTATTTGTTTTGTTCCATTATAATAAAAATAGTGTCATAAGTTCTTATCTCTATACCTTTGTCCTTATTTCAGACATCGCCATGCTCAAGACCATGACTGTAAAGTTTTACAAGAAGAGACAATAAACAAAGAATTAGATTCTAAAACAACACAACATGTTAAAGAAATCCTAGGTCAGATATTTATTCTGCATTTTTCAATTTTAGGTTTAGGAGCTGAGAATAATCTGAAAAATCTGAGAGAAAAATATATCATTATTTTGCCAATTTGATTTGTTAGCTAGTTAATACCAAATGCGAAAGTAGATGAGCATAACTAATTAATATTTACAAAACCAATGTTGAAAAAATATTAACTGTTATTTCAGCCTCCAAAGAGCCAGTCGTAAAGAAACAGTTCAAAAAGGGGAGTAAATCTGCTAAAACAGCAGCCAAAGTTGCCTTAATGAAGATAAAAATGACAGCAACAGGGAACAAATCTATTCCTGATTCAGAGAAAATATTCCTCCAAATTCATCTGCCACAGAAATCTTCAACTAAATCTAAAAATTTATTTTTCTCAAAGGTAATGATATCTAAACTTAACTATTTTCATCAGATTATCAAGCCAGAAACTGGTCTACAATTGATGTATCGAGCACTATTTTAACAGCAAAAATATTTTATTATTGTATCTATATTCAAATAGATAAGGTCCAAAGTTCCATCATGATAGTATTTAAACTTTCAACTGGGTTTTCAAGGGGCTGAAATGAGAATCTCTGTGTGCTTTAAGCCATGTATGTGCAATAGCGTTTGACTGATGAAATTGAAACAACTGTAACCAAATACTGCTGTCCTGGTGAAATTTCCCTTATTACACACTGTATGATGTTTCCTATCTTGTTTCAAATGGTGCAGTACAGAAGGAGGTAAAATGCTATTTTAATATGATTTTGTCTGTATTTTAAATAGAAATGGAGTGTTGGTAAGATAATCGACTATACAGCAGATATATCTAGTCTAAATAACACTAATAATACAGGAGATCCGTTGGTGAGTTTATTTTTATTATTGTCTAACTAGTGGGAGAGTGAGAGTATCTTCTCTTTCTAAAAAACCTTACTTAAACACCTGGGTGGAATTTTACATTGAGAAATACTACACTTTCCATAAAAATAAAGAAAAAGAATGAAAAATAAATGCCAGTTTTTGTAACTGGTTCATTGGAGGGAATTATAGTAAAAATGTCAATATTATGTTTTCTGTTTTTAGAAGTTACGTATATTTAACAGTGAAGATGGAGATATGATAAAAACTGATGAAATAATGGAGAATGTTATAAATAATGATAGTATCCCAGTGTACAGTGGATCTAGTATAATTCTAGAATATGTTACTGTAGATCAGAACAGTTTATCTAATTACCATACCTACCCTTTATCCTAGCATATAAAAAATATTTTAAACGTCCTTAGCTTGTGTTTTTTCAATGGAGGTTAGCTTGATGATACATGTAGCCTATATAATTATATTGTGGGTCTAGAATATACATGATACTGTGTTTCCACTTTTGGCAATTTATCTAGCTTAAAGCCGGCTTTCACTTTAATAAGTGGAAATGCAAAAAGACAGCTTTATTTCGTTCTGCAATTTGGACTTTCTTTCGTCGATTTAAATCCCAGTTACATCCAGAGCTATACAGAGGAGGGAAATTGCATTGAAAACTATCATAGTATTTCTATATCGTTCAAATCAAATCTGTACAATTGATGTATTGAGCACTATTTTAACAGTGATATTTCTATATCGCTCTACAATGGATGTATTGAGCACTATTTTAACAGTGGTATTTCTATATCGCTCTACAATTGATGTATTGAGCACTATTTTAACAGTGGTATTTCTATATCTCTCTACAATGGATGTATTGAGCACTATTTTAACAGTAATATTTCTATATAGCTCTATAATTGATGTATTGAGCACTATTTTAACAGTGGTATTTCTATATCGCTCTACAATTGATGTATTGAGCACTATTTTAACAGTGGTATTTCTATATCACTCTACAATTGATGTATTGAGCACTATTTTAACAGTATTATTTCTCTATAGCTCTATAATTAATATATTGAGCACTATTTTAACAGTGGTATTTCTATATCGCTCTACAATGGATGTATTGAGCACTATTTTAACAGTGGTATTTCTATATCGCTCTACAATTGATGTATTGAGCACTATTTTAACAGTCGTATTTTTATATCGCTCTACAATTGATATATTGAGCACTATTTTAACAGTGGTATTTCTATAACGCTCTACAATTGATATATTGAGCACTATTTTAACAGTGATATTTCTATATCACTCTATAATTGATGTATTGAGCACTATTTTAACAGTTGTATTTCTATATCGCTCTACAATTGATATATTGAGCACTATTTTAACAGTGGTATTTCTATATAGCTCTATAATTGATGTATTGAGCACTATTTTAACAGTGATATTTCTATATCGCTCTACAATTGATGTATTGAGCACTATTTTAACAGTAGTATTTCTATATCGCTCTACAATTGATGTATTGAGCACTATTTTAATGATAGTATTTATATTTTCAACTGGGTTTTGAAGGGGCTGAAATGAGAATCTCTGTGTGCTTCAAGACGTGTATATGCAATGTATTGAGTACTATTTTAACAGTGAAAATATTGTATTATTATATTATATTATTAAAATATAGTTTTATTTAATAATCAATAAACAATCAACAAATTTAATTAAAATTCATAAAATCGTATCACAAAATCAAAAAGAAATCAGTTAAAAAATACTCTTAATAAATTACAAACAAGGAGCGACTTAAATCACTTTTGTAAACAAATTTGAGCCACAGATTAAGAAGAATAAATTGATCAGAAAGTGACTGGCAAATACAACCCATTCAACAGACCTGATTTCTTATATTTTCATCAATTGAATTTAGTCGTGTAGGAAGACATAGGAGATGATACCATTTTCTTGACAATTTTGTACAATTCCACCAGAAAAGTAATATGGTGGGATTTAGTGGGTTGATCTATATTTCAATTTGGATTATTTTAAATTGTGATAATTTGGACAACAAGTTCCTGATTACAATTCTGTGAAAAATTTGCTGTTTCATGGGGTATTATTTTCTAACAGCTTTAAAACTTTCTCATAAACCTCGACACGGCCTTCAAATCCATTATCAGGGAGACTTTCCAGGAACATGATATACTCTTCTGGAAGTTTGGACTGCCGTGCCCCACGCAGTACGACATCTTTGTATTGTGGAGACGGTAGAGCTAGGCCTTCTTCTAGTTCTTTTATTTGATAAGTCAGACAGGAACAGTTCTTTCCCTTTTCATCAACAACATTAACTACTATTGGTGTGTAGGTATATTCCTGTCTAAAAAAAAAATGTCTTCAAAGGTAAAGTAGCTTTCCCCTAGTCAAGATCCTAGCTAATTGAAGTCAATGCCTCACGTTTGAAAAGTTGACTAAACTTTCAATGTGTATCAGGTAGACAGCAAGCATCAATTTGCAATTTTCACTAAATCGTTTTAAGTATTGGTAGAATTGCAAGTCCCACATACGTCTGACTCAAAATTGGAATGATACAAATTGATGCTATCAGTGTTCCTGATAAACATAAAAAGATAAGAAAACCTCTTTACAATCCCTTTAATCTACGAGTATTCTGAATCAGAAGTAAAGTATGCACCACAAAACCTGTTTCTCTCAACTGTTTTAAGGAGGCTGTTTTCGGAATTGTTTAGGTTGGTAATTTTGTCCTCACCTGTCAAGGTTTGGTCGATCGGTATCGTTTAACGTCCAAAGTGTTCCCCAGACAGATTGAGAGACATCCTTTTCTATTGTTGCAGCAGATCCTCTCCATCTGGTTTCTAGGGGATCTTTCATACCTTTGGGCAAACCATACCTAAATCTATATCCCTTCAAAGAATATTTTTTACTCTTGTAAGTAAATCATAGCATACGTCTCTATTTTAACAAACTATTAACTTCAACGTAATGATTATCATTTATAAGATTTGAAACAATATTTAACACGGGGATGATATGTAGCATTCTCTTTTCATAACATTGCACATAATGTATCAACACACTGTGTTATACCATAATATATTCCTTTAGGTTCATAGTTATAAGTAAAAAATAATAGTCTTCGATTCAGTTCAAATCCCACCAATTAAATAATAATCAAATCAAATCAGTTTTCAGAGTTAGCAATTTCAGTCTGAAGTGTGGCTCTTTCATTTTTGCAAAATCAGTCAAAATCCTATAATCCTAACTGAATAAAAGTGAGCTGCACAAGATCAGCTCTTTGAAGGTCAAGATTTTTATTATTTTTTATTTAAAGAAAAAGATTTAGATCCCACCACAGTTCTTTCGAAAGGATAGATTTTGTTGGTGAAGCATTTGAAATTTAAAAATACATATCAGTTGACCGGAAAAATCTCAAATGCTTCACCAAAGGCCATCCTGTCCACAAGTACCAGTGATCCTAACACCAAAAGATTTCAGAAAGCATTCAATAAATTCCAGGTCTTACTTTCAGTTGGCCGATTCCTTGATAAACAGCTGAAGGATTGCTGATTCTTATTCTTTCTTTCAACAGGTTACTTCCAAATGAAAAATATAAAAACATTCCCATGCCTTCTTCCTGAAAAAAACATAACATATTCAGCTAATCAAAATTTAAAATTTATTCAAGGTTCTTGGAATTACATTCAGAAGTAGAAATATCTTTAGATAAATAAGAACACTGTAAGGCTAGGCTATATACCAGTATCATGATAAATACCGGTATGGAATTTATATTGTTAGTAATATCGCCTTATTAAAAAATACCGAAAATATCACCGTATCGGGATATAGGCCTTTTAATGCTGAATATCATGTTATCCACCTGAATCAATATCGCCCAGCCCTTTGACAGATAATTTAGTATTGCAGTGATATCAATAATCAATAACGAAACTTAGTTTGAAAATTCTATCAAAGCAATCAGGTGTACCATATTACTATAATATATTCCCTTGTGTTTGTGTTATATATGCTCTCTGCTTCTAAATGAAGTTCAAATTTAATACTTGAATGGTAGGCTTACCATATTTTTTAAAATCAGGTTTCTCTAAGTTTTTAATTTTCAGAGTTTCCTGATATTGTCCCCTGATTTGAATCCTCTAGAATAAACTATATATACATGTGATATACCATACTGCCCTTTAATATTGTTATAATGTTTCCTAGTAATCAATTCACAATTAAAGAGAGGGGTTTACTATAAAAATGATGTGTATCGCAGAAATAATGGCATCAATTTGCACCACTCCAATTTTCAGTCAAATGTCTGTGCTTCCTGCAATTCAACAAAACATAAGTGTTAGATGACGTCACTAATTAGTGAGATATGCTTTATCACATACGGTCCTTCGAGATTAGTGACGTCATCAAACACTTAGTTATAGTGAAATTTCTGGAACCACAGACGTCTGATTGAAAATCAGAATGGTGCAAATTGATGCTATCAGTGTCTTCGATATACATAAAAAAATTAGAAAACCTCTTTACATTCGCTTTAATCTATCAATTGGGAAATAAATTACTTGTATGCACCACTGGTTAATAGGCCTTCTAACTATTCTATATCAAAATATTTCTTCCTATCATGTTCTCTTTATAGTACAGTTCCCTAAGAACACCTATTGTTTTAGGGGATTTTTTGGTTATTATTCACTCTATTGTTCTTTGTTTTTTTTAGATCAAACAGGCCACCTCTAGTTTTTCTTGGAAATATATTTTTCATTGTGATCTATGTAGATATATTGTGAATTTTCAGTAATTGCAATTTCTGTTGTTTTAATTTAGTAAAATTTAAAGTTTTTCAGCTATTAGACATCAATGCCAATATCAACTCTGCTGTCAATACAGCCCCCACTCTCCGATAAAGATGCTGGTCTGGCTTTGAGTTTTGACACTGCATGCTTACGTAAGTGTGACTTTGGCACGATTTCAAATGCAAGTAGGCGTGAAAAATTATGAATGACTTCTTAATTAGCTCTAATTGATACAAACAATAGGTTTGAATAAAATCATCATTCAACCTATCATCCTGATTTCGCAAATTCATAGCAGAATGCCATCATCACATAATACACTCGAAACGAAGTGTTCTCTTCTGACGTAATTCACTATGCTGTATAAAACGAACTGGCTACAAGGTCGATCAACCAAGATGGCAGCCGCCATGAAACACAAGTTTGGAATGCTTTTTCAGTTGCGAACAAGTTCGATTCTACCAACAATTAGACATTTTCATAGATTAACAAGTCCCAGATCATTGACTGTTAGTTTAGCGCAATTTAGAGGTCAAAAACAAAGAAATACAAGTGACTTTACTTTCAACAAAAATGATTTTCTTCTCACCTCCGGACGTTTTCCTTCGCTCAGTTCAGTGCTGTCAGTTCGTTTTAACAGTAGCAGTGGGGGAATGGTCGACGTCCCGTATATACCACCCCCTCCTAAAATACCATCAGACAGCTTGGAGATCCCTGAAAGTATCGTTTCAGAGACTGTGAATGCTGTGAACGCTTTAGGTGAACCAACATTACAATCTCTTGGGTTGGGTTCATGGAGCCCAGTTGGTATGGTTCAACAGCTTACAGAGTTCCTACACATCTCCCTTGATATACCATGGTGGGGAGCAATTTGTCTGTTAACTGTTTGTCTAAGGGTTCTTATGTTCCCTATCTTTATCAAATCACAAATCAATGCTGTTAATTTACACAATATCATGCCCGAAATGACAAGACATCAAGCAAGATTCACGGAAGCGAAAAGATCGCAGGATATGATGACCATGGCAATGGCTCATAAAGATTTAGTAGATTTTATGAAAGAGTCAAAGTTTTCACCATTTATGATGATGTATCCTATGTTACAAGCTCCAGTGTTTATCTCTGTGTATTGGGGGCTTAGAGGAATGGCTAATGCTCCAGTTGAAAGCATGAAAGAAGGAGGCATGTTGTGGTTTACAGACTTGACCCTTTCCGACCCAACTGCTCTACTTCCAGTTATTTGTTCTGGATTGTTACTGGCTACAATGGAAGTGGGTGCTGATGGAGTACGAACTGAATCCATGACAACCAGTGTTCGGTGGTTAATGCGAGGACTGCCGATTGTGTTTATACCAATCATGATCAATTTCCCGTCAGCAGTGTTGTGTTACTGGGTAACATCTAATGTAATTTCTTTGGCTCTTGTATCCATCTTGAAAATACCAGGTGTGAAGCCATTTTTCAAAATTCCAGAACGAATTCGGCATCCTAAGCAGTTGAAGTCAACTACCGTAAAAGTGCCCATGTTCAAAGGGATCAAAGAGAATTGGGAAAATGCGAAAATACAAGAAAGAATGAGAAAAAAAGATGCTATGGACTCAAACATTTTCAAACAAGCTGCCTCAGGACCAATACCTAAAACATATATTAACGATCCTACAGGCGGTAAAGCAACTAAAACTAAGGAAAGCCCAAATACATGGAAGATGCCATGGTCAAAAAATAAATCTGACTGAAATCTTTGTGATAAGTGATTTTATTTATAACAAAGAAAAATGCTTTTTATTTGGATCTCTGTGGACGTTTCTCCAAACTTAGCCAAATTAAAAGTGAGCTAAACATTAGTAAGGATTTGTATTGGAAATACTTAAATTTATAAAGGCAATGGACAAAAGCTAATGCTGTTTCACATTTTTCAGATGTAAAATGGACATGGATAATTGCAAAGTTATTCCAGTATACCCATTTTACAACTATTGCCGGAATGACAACACTAGCTCTGTGGTTTATCTAAAGTCTATAAAGAGTTGGCATCAAACGTTTTCTTGTTTGACTCCGAGGGACTTGCATTGCGAGTGTTTTACTATCAATAATGCATAGTTTCACTATCTTTAACCTTTTCTCAATCCAGGACATTTTTATTTTTAGTTAAGTGTCACATTTAACATTTGTTGTGTTTTCTGGGGTGTACTTCTGGTATTTCACATTGATTTTTCTAGTGACTAGTGATAGTTATATTGCAACCTGAATATGGTGCCAATCTTTATAGAGAAATTGGGACAAAAATCTTAGAGACCTTGGGGGGAAAATTCTGACACTTTATGCATTTAATGACTCTCTGAATCACTTGATTGGTTATGATATGATGGTATTCTTCATGATTCTTCATGTGAAAAATTCATTAGCTGCAACCAATGTTTCGCCAAAATTATGTTTTGGATTTGGGGTTTCGTTTGAATCGTTAGTTCTTGGTTTATTTATTGATCATGTGGAAAACGATCTGTGTATATACTGTTTAGTTAAAGAAAAAGATTTTAAGGCATTTGTTGCACATACATGTAATTATTATAAATGTTAAGATTATTAAATTAGAACCTGAAACATGTAACTCCGTGTTTGAAGACTTCACATGATTTGTGTTTATTTTGAAGTTAAACAAGTAATGTAATTGGTTTAATTTTTCTTTACCTCTACCTTTTTTTTCTTCAGTGGAGGGGTAGGCTTAGGCTTAACTTACAGATTTGTACGAAGAAAGGAAAAGTATATTCTGATCAAAGCCTCCATGTGATTTGTAAGGGCATGAACTATTTTTGGGCAACTATTGAATGTTCAATAATACACCAGGTGTTGGACTGGGCTTCAATGGAAGAAGGCCTTTACCATTCCAGAGGAATCTTGAAAAAAAAAACAACTATATTTGGGGTAAACTGGTTTATAATTTGAAAAAAGATCATAGGATAAATTTAGTAGAAAAGATGTTGCTTGACTATGATTAAATGATTTACTACAAACATAATATCTTTAAGGTTTAATAATTCATACAGACTAACTGACTTATATCATCATGTATTATCTAAAATCATCACCTTCAAGCTTACAGACAAAAATCTGCTATTGGAGGAGTTAAATATTTAACTAGGCGTCCTGGAGTGTTACCAGTCACTTTTGGCTAGAGCTCTATATCTCTGATTTGACAGTATTTACCTTTCATGTCTGACTAGAGCTCTAGACTGTTCATCAGCCTGTATTTACCAGTTGTGTTTGACTGGAGTTCTAAACAGTTGATTAGCCTGTATTTACCAGTCATGTCTGACTAGAGCTCTAGATGTCTGATTTGTCTGTATTTACCAGTCATATCTGACTGGAGCTGTAGCATGTTAAATTTTAGAAGAATTTGGCCCTGGTTTACATACTTTCAATTACCATTTATTCTACCCACAAAAAAATAGATTGTTCTACTTTACTTAAAAAAAAATCTCCTGAACTTTCATCAATATTCTTGTCCCTCAATATCTAGAAATGGAATATTCCCACAAATGTCTATTTAAAACAGTAAACAAATGTAAGAATCTTGCGAAGACATAACAGAACAGTTATGGAGGGATCTATATAAAACTACCTAATAACAATTGCAATATGCAAAATATATCGACATCTTCAAGAAAAACCTAAAAAACTTTCTGGTTTATTAGCGCTTGAATAGTATCATCATTTCCTCCATTCACAGAAATATATAGATCAGGGCACAATAGAAACTGAACAGTAATTTGTGCCGTCAGTGAACTACATGTATTCAATAAGTAAGAACACTATTATGGATATAGGCCTACTATTCATTTCTTTAATTTTACTGTCTGACTACATTGAGCTCTCAATTGAATTTTTTCTCTCATTTCATAAATATTTAAAATAAAATTTTCTACTTTATGCCATTTGTAAGGTTCAGTGATTTTTCATGTGAAATAGTCAACTTCCCTCCCAGAAAATCCATGTGAAAAGGGCCTAAATTTCGGACTGAAAATTCCCCTCTGTAAAATCATGCTTACAAATAGTAACTTTTCTAATGGTTGACATTTTCATGAACCCAAAGACAATTAAAAACTCTCAGTAGTACTTAGTAGTTGATATTTCAGTTCATATGAAAATGATTGCCAAAATTCTATTCAGAAAGCAGTGTAGTCAGAGAATAGCATAAGCAATTTCTGTGTGTGAATTGAAACATTGCTAGAATTAAAGAAAGGAGCAGTATATCTATAATAGTGTTTATATTTATTTAATGTTCTATCTACTTCTAAATCTCAATTAAAGATTACATGTATTATTATCATTATGCAATATATATCTCTGTCATACTGTAGGAAAGTAGAACTTGAAACTCTATTTTTTTTCATAATTATCTAGCCAGTTACATCATCAATTTTTCTAACTTATTATGTAAATTTCTGATGCAGATTGTAAATGAAATGAAATGAATGGATTTTACGTCCTCCTTTACTGTAGGGGATGACATTAATAAAGAATCAAGTCTAGCTGAAGTGACAATTGATCAAGTCCCTATGAAACAGTATGTTGGAGTACTCAGATGTCGAATATCACAGAGTACACTGTATATTATGATACAGACAGTGCATGTTAGATTTCTCAACAGTTGGAAATTGAAAGACTGTCCTATGTCCTATATTAGTCCTATCAGCTTCAGAAAAGTAGGACGTAAAACACCATTTCATTACATCATTACTTTAAAATACCTTTTCAGGTGTAGGATATAAGTCAGCTATTTTCATTTATAAGCTTCTTATACCAGTAGGTATGTCGAGTAGGCTTGATTTCTCTATTAAATTAATGTACATATAGTAATAGTTGAGCATTATAAAAGAAAGATCACATAAAACTGAGATCAAGAAAGACAGTAAAGTATTTAGTAGATTAGTTTCTTAAATTATGCTGACAAATACATCAACGTGTGTCGTGCAAACACTGCTAATATTCTAAGATTAGAATGCATGTAGGACAAACTGCTTATACAACAGTCAGGATGGGGGTAGAGTGGGCCCTTTCTGTCGAGGCTCTGATTAGCTATATTCGCTGGAATACAATCCAATCAAATTGCTTTACAACTTAATAATAGCTTAAAATTCTAACTACTACAACTACCAACAACTACCTTGCTTGTGATACCAGGTGGAAGCGAATGTTAACCTGTCATCTATCACCTTGACATTGTGAAGATGGTTTACCTTCAGTTCTGGCACTCATAACTATAATATGATGAATGAAGCCATCAGATCACATCTAAGTTTTTGAATACCGAAAATTTCCTCATACAAAGTTAGTTCTAACACCACATATGACATACATGTAGGTTTACACTGATATCTAAAAATATGAAAATAACACAACTTTCACTTTACAAAAATAGAAATATAAAAATAAAATAAAATAAAGATCTATCTTTTTTTAGAATAGAAATTAAGTTTGGTCCACAGATGTAACGTCAAAACAGACTTGGTATTTCTTGTCCAATAATAGTTAGCGTAAAATTAACAAATGTCACTTAAACACAGACTCAAGGAGCCAATATATAACATACAGAGAATAGAACAGGATAATCGATACAGTCAAAAAGAAGCCAATACACAAGGTGTCGAAACCTTCAATGCAGTCATGATTGGTTTCATAATCGATATACGAGAAAATTGAGAAAACGAATACATAAGTTGCAGGTCTGGATACAATACGTTACGATTGGTTTCACATGTCATTCTACGCTATCGATTCCTCGTACATGATACAGCACACAGTACCTTATCTTTTGCACATCTGGAGTGTTATTTTCAAAAAACTATTGAGTATTCCAGTCATCTGATTGGTCAATCACTAAAATTGTTTATAACTTTGCTTTTGATATCCAATCAGATTACTGTATTTCTTAAACTTTTGATTTTTTTTTAGTAAAGTTTTGGAGAATAATGCCCAAGCAAGTTTATTTCATAGACAAAATCTTGGTTGAATTCTAGACTTTACTACTTCTCAAAAACAATCTTGCATACTAATTCTGGTTTTACAAATAAAATGTAAGTAAATGAACATCTTTAATAAGTTTTTTCTGTATTTAAACAAAAAGACACAAAAATCTATCATTAATATTTGAAGTTCTTATTAAAAAATCATAAACTTCAGTTTACTATTATAATAGTAAATATAAATAAAACAGGGACCTTAGTCTCAAAAACTTAACAAAGATAAAATCCAGATTTAAAGAACAACCATCTGATTGGATAATAAACTAACTTTAAATTCAATTTTAGTGATTGACCAATCAGAAGACTACATTATAAAATCATCTTTCATTAAGTTGTCCAGAACTAGGCCCTTGATTTTTACTTTATGTTGAAATTTATAGTTGATATTTTTGAAATACATGAACCTGTATCTCAACTTTAGCCTTGGCAGTGTGAGTAAGATGAAAGTGTCATATTTTGACACAATGTATTACAGCAAATGGTATCCATTTTCAACATTTAAATGGATTTCTCTTAAATATCATTCAAAAAGTTTGAATTAAAATTACGTTGTATATATAATTAAACTAAATAATAAGCTAAAATTAAAATCAAAGAATTTTTTTGTAAATTATAATATCATAAAAATCTATAGCTACTCAGTAGCCAATTGAGGTTCGCTGCGTTCCTTCTGTCGTGCTAGCATATGACTGGTTATTCCCAAGGCTCCACCAATACCAAATCTAACGAAATTATCTCCCACTAGGGGTCCCATCGCATATAGTCCTGGCTCGTGATTCGATTCATAACTTAACGTATTAATATCAATAGGATTATGCTTGCTGTCTATCGGCCATTTTGGAACGAGTCCAAGACACTTGCCTTCCTGAGGTAGAAAAGATAAATCTGACCTTGACCCTATCATCACAACGATAAATGACACACAAAGTGATGTAATGGCCCCTGAATCTAACGCCTGAATAAATGCCTTATTTTCCTTGATCTCCACCACTTTATGATTACCGTAAGGTTTATAAAGTTCAGATTCCTCCGTGCCCTTCATCAACGAATGAATATTACGATATTCAGGATACATCTTCGATGGTAACTTTCTGAAAATTAGCGAGGAATCGTTCGGTGGGCATCGGAACGAATGGATCACAGGAATTCCCTTCCCCATCGACATCAAAATAGAATCTGCTGCACTTAAACCAGCCCCAACAACCAATATGGGGTCTGAAGAAGGGTGGAGGTTTTCAATTTTCAAAACTTTTTCTAAATCAGCCAACGAATGAACCACATTGGGCAATGTTTCTCCCTCAACCCCAAGTTTATTAGGAATGTCGTATGTCCCATTCGCAAGAACAACGTTTGGTGCAACAAAACAAAATTCTTCGCGAACAATGTTGCCATTTACATCATCATGGTCACTTGGTTTGTAATGATAGCCTCGTACCTCCCATAAGTAACTATGGTTTTGTTTAACGTTTTTACAGCAGGGTACAACTTCTCCGCTTTCACCATCCACGTGACTACGCAGTTGAAAAACTTTTTGAACCGAGGTCACCGTATGGTGGTCGTAAAAATAAGGAGATAACTTTCTATCATTCACAAAATCTAGATAATAATTCTTGACGTCTGCTATTGTTGCTCTGTTGTTCATTGATGTAGTCCTGGAGAAAAAAAAAAAAAAAAAAAGAAACTGTTAAATCATGATTAATTATCTTACAATTTTTCTACCACAAATATTTCATAAACTAGAAGTTGTTTTTTATTTTATTTTCATTGAAAGCCAACAAAACATGAAATTTTCATTTTGTTCAATTAGGTACATTTTTTGGAAAACATGATAAAATAAATAGATCAATGATCATTGTATTTAATATTTGATAACATTGTACAAACAATAACTATATCTTCCTTTATTCAAAATTCAATACACAATTGTTTTTCATTTCAGCTGAGAAGTGTCACTTCGAGCAATAAACCAATCAGCAATTATTGAGATCAACATTAAGATCAATTTAAGAATAAAGATTGTAATAATGTTGATATGATAGGTTCAAAGTTTCTAAAACAGATAATAAAACAGAAGAATTTAATGACATGGCATATTTATATTGATGAAATGGTGGTTTGAAGTTTGTAAACAGATAATAATAGGCCTTCAAACACAGTCATCTGTTTCTATCAATAGTCATAAATAACATACACTATTATAGAGAGAGTCGACTATTGATAGAAACAGATGAAATTTAATGATATGTCGTCTTTGTATATAAGATCAATATGTATCATACAAGGGAGACAACTTAAAAGTATTAAAAAAAAACTAGTACTAACAACATTTTAGCAAAACATTGGTAGCAGCTAATGAACTTTTCACAAGAGGAAGTATATCAATCATAAGTGAGCAAGTGTTTCATAATGAAAAGTGATATCAGGTGTCTAGAAGAGTAAGCATATCCTGCCTAGTACCACACCTGTCAAAGCTGCTTAAAATACACAACACACATGACAAAAAACAACAGTGACGAATCTATTGTGGATCACGAGACGTCAAATATGTCATCAACTCATTATCTTTATCAAACCCACAAAAAAGCTTTCAATCAACTTTTTAAAAAACAAATATAATCTATTACAACTGATTACAATAGCCCTTGATCTGATAGTGAATGTTAAAAGGGCTTGCCAAACTGAGGAGCACATTCTAGACAATCTTTGAACGGCATATTAGAAGAACAAGATATAGAGATATAAGACAATTTCATGGATAGATACTTCTGGTATATTTATTACTTCAACGTTTCAATGTGGTTCTCACACCGTCATAAGGAATATAATGATACTTCTAGAATATTTATTACTTCAACGTTTCAATGTGGTTCTCACACCGTCATAAGGAATATAATGATACCTCTAGAATATTATTACTTCAACGTTTCAATGTGGTTCTCACACCGTCGTAAGGAATATAATGATACTTCTAGAATATTTATTACTTTCAACGTTTCAATGTGGTTCTCACACCCTCATCAGGTATATAATGATACTTCTAGAATATCTATTACTTCAACGTTTCAATGTGGTTCTCACACCGTCATAAGGAATATAATAATACTTCTGGAATATTTATTACTCCAACGTTTCAATGTGGTTCTCACACCGTCATCAGGAATATAATAGTTATAAACAATCAGTAACATAAGTATATACAGGTAACATTGATAATGGAAACAAACAACAATGGCAAAAGGGAAGACATGTAAAAAGACAACATTCCAGGTGGAAACGGTTTTGGTCCAACCCGCCAATACAAGACAGCTATATCCAATTTAGCAATCATTATCTCAGTACTCACCGTTTTTTCTTGGCTAGCCATTCTCTAAATGGCGCAGACGGTAATTCCATCCAGGTATTTAAACTTAACGTCTGCATACTGCCATCCATTCTCTACAAAATAAACATTGTATAATCATTTTAAAAAAACTAAAAGTCAAACAGGAACAGAAAATCTAACTGAAAGGAGGCAATTCCAGTAATTGGCAGCTATTATGTACTTGGTCCTCAGCCCTCTAAGGGTAGCTGTGTCCTTATTTTAAATTGCCAAGCAAATCATTTATGAAATACTGTTTGATACTGAATACTGCCACCTTGCTGATGGTGTAAGAGGGTATAAGAGAGGACAAAATGTTTCTAGGGATATGAGAATCATAAGATTTGAATCATTGGGTGTACCAGATGGTAAATCAACTCCTACCCAATACCAAACTGCACAAGTTCAAGGTTAAATTTTCAATATTTATATTTTTATCTGCTTATCTGTGATAACCAGCAACCTGTTTCTTAGCAATATAAACAAGAGATAAGAAGACTGCTAAATCATGCTATAATAATAGTAATACAAAGTGTAAATATGTTTCTTATTCAGGGGTGTATCTAGAAAATGCCTAAGGGGCGGGCCAAAAATGACAGGTGTCTCTCCGAGACGAGGCGAGAAGTGCTGAAGCGCAATGGGTTGCCCGAGTTTCTCAAGAAGTCCATGTATTTCAGATGGTCCAAGATTAACATTGAGCATTTAAAGGTATCAATTTTCACTTTTCGAATACCTTACGGGGAGAGACTACTTGTGTGTCATAAAATTTCAGAAATGATATGAAATGGAGTTTTACATCCTACTTTTCTACACATTAAAAGATTGAATTAACCTTGTTGATATTCAATTAAGGTTTTTCTAGTTTCTTTTATTGACATAAGACAACATGTTTTGAATATTAAATGACTATACCATTATATTATGACACTGTGCATACAAACTGTAATGTCATTATACCATATAGCCTAAATATAGAGAACAATATGTTTGAACTGAATGTTTGAAGGCCACTGTGTCAGTCATTATATAGTCAGTGAATATAAATATAATGTATGATAAATAAAACAGTATAAACTAGCCTAGTCAGTTATCAGTTATATTTTTTAAAACTGCACTATAGCAGATATATCTAATCTATATACCACACAAAAACCCACTTTCACATTGCACGAAGCTATTATCACCTTTTATCAATTAGATGGGATTGCACTCAGCAGCGTACACAGCCAATCAGAGCCTCAACAATAAGACTGTAAACATTATGGCTTATAGTTTACTGACTTTCTGTCGAAGGCTCTGATTGACTATTTACGCTAGCCTACAATCCAATCAAATCGCTTCATTTACAAACTTTCATGATACAAGAAAGGTTCAAAGTTCAAGCTATAATGAACCCATGTAAAACAGTTTTGAAGCTAATATTCCAATTCACATAGAAATAATTGTTAAAATAAAACATGTAGAACACTACATCTGCATTTGATACGTTTTATCAGATTATTTAAAATAAATTATAATATATAAAGGAAACAAAATTTGTCTGAGCTCTTACCTGCCAAGATCCCCCTGGTATGGATTTCCCTAAAACTACATGAGGTATAACATGGTTGTCGTCTTTCTGCCAAGTAAGTAATGATGGGTTATCTGCCCCTAGATCAGCGTCAGGATGAAGTAAAGCATCGAATAATAAGGCCACAGGATTGGATGAACGGCCATCTAGACCCTCAGAGAGATATTCGAGGTCCTGCAAGAAAAATTGTGAAACTTTGTAATGATGAGCTTAAAGGGACAGTCTGATTTTTTATTCAAAATCTCATTATCGAAAACGATGTAAATTATTCGCAAAATATTTCTAAAGTATGCTACTTACTACTATCTATCGAGTTGATCAAACTGATAAAAGGGTTGATAAAAAAAAAACTGTATAAATATATACATTAGTTTTCCGACCAACTTAAAAAATCAAAAGACTGCCCCTTCATCTAAATGAAATGGCTTCAGATGACTGACAGCAGTTCCTCCACCAATATAGTCTCAGCGTGATATCTATATTCCTCAACACTCACTTAATCAAAGAAAAAAGATAGCCATGGAAAGATCGATTTCTACCTGTTCAACAATTGATAAACCGTTCTTCAGTTCTGCTAATTTCTTGGTGAGGATTTCGTTAGAATGTGGAATTCCGTTGTAATAGGGACGGTTACCAGACAGCAGGAATGATAAACTGATAGCTGATGGTCCATTACCTGGAATGATAAGATGCATCACATACTACGCCCTACAATTATATTGAATAATACTAAACTAAGTCAGTCACTACTGGTAAATACAACTCAAGTCAGTCACTACTGGTAAATACAACTCAAGTCAGTCACTACTGGTAAATACAACTCAAGTCAGTCATATTTACAGCTCTAGTCAGTCAGTACTGGTAAATACAACTCAAGTCAGTCACTACTGGTAAATACAACTCAAGTCAGTCACTACTGGTAAATACAACTCAAGTCAGTCACTACTGGTAAATACAACTCAAGTCAGTCACTGCTGGTAAATACAGCTCAAGTCAGTCATTACTGGTAAATACAACTCAAGTCAGTCACTACTGGTAAATACAACTCAAATCAGTCACTGCTGGTAAATACAGCTCTAGTCAGTCAGTACTGGAAAATACAGCTCTAGTCAGTCATATTAACAGCTCTAGTCAGTCAGTACTGGTAAATACAACTCTAGTCAGTCACTACTGGTAAATACAACTCAAGTCAGTCACTACTGGTAAATACAACTCTAGTCAGTCACTACTGGTAAATACAACTCTAGTCAGTCACTACTGGTAAATACAACTCAAGTCAGTCACTGCTGGTAAATACAACTCAAGTCAGTCACTGCTGGTAAATACAACTCAAGTCAGTCAGTACTGGTAAATACAACTCAAATCAGTCACTGCTGGTAAATACAGCTCTAGTCAGTCACTACTGGTAAATACAGCTCTAGTCAGTCATATTTACAGCTCTAGTCAGTCAGTACTGGTAAATACAACTCAAGTCAGTCACTACTGGTAAATACAACTCTAGTCAGTCAGTACTGGTAAATACAACTCAAATCAGTCACTGCTGGTAAATACAGCTCTAGTCAGTCATATTAACAGCTCTAGTCAGTCAGTACTGGTAAATACAACTCAAGTCAGTCACTACTGGTAAATACAACTCAAGTCAGTCACTACTGGTAAATACAACTCAAGTCAGTCACTGCTGGTAAATACAGCTCTAGTCAGTCATGTTTACAGCCTTAGTCAGTCATATTTACAGCTCTAGTCAGTCACTACTGGTAAATACAACTCTAGTCAGTCACTACTGGTAAATACAGCTCTAGTCAGTCATATTTACAGCTCAAGTCAGTCACTACTGGTAAATACAGCTCTAGTCAGTCACATTTACAGCTCTAGTCAGTCACTACTGGTAAATACAGCTCTAGTCAGTCACAACTGGTTTAAACAGCCCTAGTTTGTCACTACTGGTAAATACAGCTCTAGTCAGTCACAACTGGTTTAAACAGCCCTAGTTTGTCACTACTGGTAAATACAACCAAATCAACATGGTAACTGTTGTCAAAATGTAATAAAACCTTGGTGGATATTGACCAGGGTGATATAGAGCAGTATTATTGTAGGTTACTAAGTACAGCAGTTATTGTTTTATACTAATTATTGATTAGGTTATATCAACACAATTCTGCTTTTTCATTCTCAAACTTCAAGTGGCCATTTCAGTTCATACTAACACATTTCTGTTTTTCATTCTCGGTTTCATACTAAAGGCTATACAGCAAATTTCTCAATACACATAAACACTATAGAAAACCTCTTAAACAACCGTTTAAGAGGCCATTTCAAATTATACAATTATATATATATATTCATTAACCATGAAATTGCGACTTGGCGACAAATTTCATCAAAAATTCATTAAAAAAATTGTCTACTTACCAACAACTATAATATCAGTCTGGGTGCAATGTTTAAATGGACATCTTGCAGATGACATCCTCACTTTAAATCCAAGATGGCTGACTTAGCAACAGGCTTTCAGCTGAAATGATAAAATAAAAATTATGAAATTGCTAATCAAAATGACTTCAAGAATTGTGCTTGGATGACAAATATGGTCCTATAATACCAGGCAATATTTTGATAAATGAAAATTTAAAATACGCTGCTTGCTTTTGTAAGGATTCCTTTCATTGGTCAAAATAACTTCATAATTGAGTTAGAAATTCAATTAAATTCAACTACCTCACCAACATTGATGTATCTAATGCAACTGAGATAAGTAACAAATTATGAGTGAGATTAGGGTTTCAAATTCATGAAAAAAAAAAAAAAATTCTTTTAATTCTCTGCAATAAAAATTAACTTTAATAATAACAAACTGTAAAGAGTTGTTGAAGTGGAAACAAAAATATCATTCACTATCATGACTATGCATTTTCTGTCCAACGAAATGGCAGCCATTATGTCATGACCAAATTATCATAAAATCTAGTACCAGAACATTACACATGAACTAAACATACTTATGAGGGGGGCATAACAGGATTGGGATGATCGTCAGCCAATGAAAACTGCTCTTCAAGAGTGCAACCTAGGTTACAAGAAAATAGTTCACGGTCAACAAACCAATTTTTGTGTTTAGTGTTCTAAGAGCAGCAAATGATAAATCATTTATTACAATATAAAACCTATAACTTCATTCTGTTTTGAAAATAAGACAAATTAACTGAAAAAGTTTCACCACAATGTCATATGACCCAACCAGATCTGAAAATTCAACGTTAACGTGTCATCCACCGACAACTACCTAGTCTGTGATATCAGTTAGCTGGAAGCGGACTTTAACTTGTCATCTACCAACAACTACCTAGTCTGTGATATCAGTTAGCTGGAAGCGGACTTTAACTTGTCATCTACCAACAACTACCTAGTCTGTGATATCAGATAGTTGGAAGCGGACTTTAACTTGTCATCTACCAACAACTACCTAGTCTGTGATATCAGTTAGCTGGAAGCGGACTTTAACTTGTCATCTACCAACAACTACCTAGTCTGTGATATCAGCATCCCCTGGAAGCAAACTTTAACTTGTCATCTACCGATAACTACCTAGTTTGTGATATCAGTAAGCTGGAAGCAAACTTTAACTTGTCATCTACCGATAACTACCTAGTTTGTGATATCAGTAAGCTGGAAGCAAACTTTAACTTGTCATCTACCGACAACTACCTAGTCTGTGATATCAGCATCCCCTGGAAGCAAACTTTAACTTGTCATCTACCGATAACTACCTAGTTTGTGATATCAGTAAGCTGGAAGCAAACTTTAACTTGTCATCTACCGATAACTACCTAGTTTGTGATATCAGTAAGCTGGAAGCAAACTTTAACTTGTCATCTACCGATAACTACCTAGTTTGTGATATCAGTAAGCTGGAAGCAAACTTTAACTTGTCATCTACCGACAACTACCTAGTTTGTGATATCAGTTAGCTGGAAGGGAACTTTAACTTGTCATCTACCGATAACTACCTAGTTTGTGATATCAGTAAGCTGGAAGGGAACTTTAACTTGCCATCTTTCTACAACTACCTAGTTTGTGATATCAGTTAGCTGGAAGCAAACTTTAACTTGTCATCTACCGACAACTACCTAGTTTGTGATATCAGTTAGCTGGAAGCAAACTTTAACTTGTCATCTACCGATAACTACCTAGTTTGTGATATCAGTAAGCTGGAAGGGAACTTTAACTTGTCATTCACCAACAACTACCTAGTTTGTGATATCAGTTAGCTGGAAGCAAACTTTAACTTGTCATTCACCAACAACTACCTAGACATTGATATCAGTTAGCTGGAAGGGAACTTTAACTTGTCATCTACCGATAACTACCTAGTTTGTGATATCAGTAAGCTGGAAGGGAACTTTAACTTGTCATTCACCAACAACTACCTAGACATTGATATCAGTTAGATGGAAGGGAAAATTAAATTGTCATCTACCAACCAACCAACCAACCAACCAACCAACCAACCAACCAAGCTCTTAGAAAAATTTAGTATTTCTGAGAAGAAAAATGAAGAACTTATTTCTGCAATGTGACAGACTTGCTGAATAAAATATTAATAACAAATACTCAGTAAGATTCAATAGGACCAGCTGTTGAGGTTTTATTATCTTTCTCGTTCCAGACAAGTGAGCCAACAGATTAAAATAAAAACTAAGATTACATTTCTTCCTGTTCTGCCTACATGGCAAGATTATCATTATAGAAATAAAATAAAATGTCAAGAACAGAGATTATTCTCTATTCAGTATTACAGACGATGGCAACATGTTCTATTGCAAATAATATTGTATCTTTCTTATCCCAATGTGGAAAATTCACTGTACAACATGAGAGATCTCGGATACACATATGAAACACAAACATAAACATAAACATAAACATAAACATAAACATAAACACAAACACAAACACACAAACACAAACACACATAAAAACAAATATAAACACAAACACTAACATAAACACAAACATAAATAAACACAAACACAAACATAAACACTAACATAAACACAAACATAAATAAACACAAACACACAAACACAAACATAAACACAAACATAAATAAACACAGTACAAATAACATATATATAATTCTCACGGTTATGGTTGATTAAAAGAATTAATGTTTTCTTCAGATCTGCCTTTGAAATTAAACGAATACTCGATAAGAGACAGAGCAAGGGTTGTTTTCAAGGCTGAATTTAATTTGACAGGCAACAAAAAAAACATCCCCAATCCTTCAAATGAGCTCTACCAATCCAACAAATTACAGTATCATAATGAAAGGAAGTATGCATGTATGGAAGAGTTCAATAAACAGTTGAGGAATCTCAAATACATACATACTTGGTTGTGCTGCTATGCCTCTGGCTTCTCTGAACCATAAAATGAGACAAATCTGAATTTGATTGCTGTTGTAACAAAACACATCTTTGACTGATTAGAACTTACTTATAATATGGAGCCAAAACAAAGGTTGTGCCTATGACCCTGAATAGCTCTGTTAATTTGAACTTTAATATGAGACAATTCTGACTAAGCTTGCTGTCATAAAAACCACATGTTCACCCTGTGATAAGATTATAGATGATCTAAAAACAACAGTCAGATAATCTTCTTATAGACTAGCTGGATTAAACCATTACATGGT